GCGGGGGTACGGGTCGCTCCGGCGGGCGGCGCGGGGTCCCGGCTCCCTCGGATCGGACCGGGCCGGCCCCGGGACGGGGAGGCTCTGCGGGCGGCGCTCAGCCCCGGCCCCGCCGCCCCAGGCGGCCGAGTTACCGATGCGGCCTCGGGCTGGAACCGCCGCCGATCCCGCTGCCTCGGTGGGGCCAGGTCTAGTGTCCATGGCAGGTGCCCTCTGCCATCGGGTCTGGGGCTGCGCGCTGAGTGGCCGTGGAAAAGTGGCTTGGCCTCTCTGGCCCTCGGCTTTCCCACCCGCTCGGGCAGAGCCTCTCCAGAGCCGCAGCTGGCACCACTGGGGCCCTGGCAAAAATGCAGACTCTCAGGCCCTGCCCCAGACCTGCTAAGCCCGAGGCCGCCTCTTAACAAGATGCCCAGGAGATTACGATGTGCTCTCAAGTTCGAGAAGTGCTGGTTTCAGGCCTCTTGAGGTCCCGGGGAGGGGCACGTGAGCTGCCCTTGGGGCAGCTGGGAGGGGACACGGAGGGAGAACTGCCACCTTCTGATCTGCCACCTTCCTGTCCCTCCCCCAGGGGGCCTCGGAGCTGGGTTAGGGCCCAGGGGACTCTACTCGGGTTTCTGGCAGTGGGACCAGCTGCTCCTTGGGGTCTGACAAGCCCAGAAGGTCAGAGCCTGGAGCCAGAGGACAACCTCCTCAGGGGACATCAGGAGGGGAAGGGAGGCCCCTGAGCTCTGGCCCGTTCTCTGGCTCCTGCCGCCCTCCTAGCCAGGTGGGACTAGGCGGTCCCACAGATTTTATAATCCGCCATTCTTGAGACTCGTAGAGGCCCCAACTGTGACAACATTTGATAATTTTGCAATGAACTTTAGTCCACCCTCCCCCTCTCCACTGTCTTCCCTCCTCCTCCCTCTCCTCTGCTTCATTTATGCCCTCAAGTACAAGTTTTCCTGCTTCGTGGCTGTCGGTTTTGTTCCCAGCCGGATGGGTCTGTTCCCTGCTCTGTCAGAAGGCCAGTGAGATGCATTTTGACCCCAAGTACACCACCTCCTGGTTTTCCTTGCCCCTCCTGTATTCCAAGTTCAAGAAAACTCACCAACCTTTGACCTAGAAACCCTCATATCTTTTCTGGCCCCAACAGGGAAACTGAGGATTGACTCTATCTGTGGAAGGAGGGGGCTGGTGACAGGGATGATGGAGCGGAGAGACCTGGGCCTGGCCTGAGAGTTGCTACCAAGCTGGTGGTAGGTGGACATCGGTCTGGGGTGTAAGTCCCAGCTCTGCCATAAGCATGTCACATGGCCCCAGGCAAGCCCTTATGGCTCTCTGGGTCTCAGTTTCTCCCGTGTGTGGAGAAGGGGGACACAGGATGATCTCTAAGGCTCTGAGTGTCTGTGGTCTCTGTACCTGCAGCCTGCAAAGGAGGCCAAGGATAAATTCCTTCTGCCCAGAGATGGAAGAAGCTGGAGGAGCCTGTTCCGGGCCTGTCCACAGGCTAAAAGAGAAGGCTGCAGTGAGCATCCTTCTCTGGCCTCCTGTTCCTTCCCAGAGCCTTACCAGCTGTCTCTGTCTGTTGCTGGCACAGCCAAGGCTGTGAAGGGCAAGCAAAGTTGGCACAGACTGAGCTGGAAAGGGCCTTGGGTGCCCCCTGAGCTGATGCATTCAAGACACAGATGGGAGGTGAAGGCCCAGAGGAGGAAAGGGCTTGACTGCCATCACAAATCAACGTGGAGCAGAGCCCCAGTACCCAGGCCCCTCCCCTGTGCTCCCAGTGGCTTCTTGGTGACTACAAACAAAGCCCTTTGGCATAAAAGCCTTCACCCTAGTTGCCTCAGAACAGCCTGGCCTGTCTCCTCTGCCCCACCAAGGCCAGGCCCCTGCCCCTATGGGCAGGAGTCACCGGCTGGTTTGTTGGAAGTTTCCATCCCTCTCCTCCCCAGTTTCTCATCCAGGTGCCGACCCCTGGAAGGCCTGAGCTCTGAGGCCACCACCCCCATACACAGGTGGTCAGCCCCCAGAGAGAGGGGTCCTCCAAGCATGGGACAGACAACAATAAGCTCAGACTACAGCTGGGCGGGACTGGCGCATAGCATGCCCTCGAAAGAGAGTACGAGGCATAGACTTAAAGTTACACTCTAGGGACATCACTGCCTAGATTGTACCCAAGGAAAATCACAGGGACGTGGGAGGTGAGGGACACTCATGTCCTCAGAAGGCTGGTGTAGGCAGTGTGGGGAGGAGGTCGGCAAGTGCCTGGCCACTGCCTTCCAGTCTTTCAAGTGTTGTCAGGGGCCATGGGAGGAGGCTTTGTTCTCTGTTGTTCCAGAAGCTAGAGCTGTGGCCAGTGGCGGGAAGCTGAGGGAGCCCCATTTCCACTTCTCGTAAGAAGTGGCTGAGAAAGCCCTCAAAGTGTAGTGAGTTCCCCATCACTAGAGGGGTTCAGGCAGGGGTCAGATGGCATTTGGTAAGGACATTTAGTGGGACTAAGAAACATTTAGGACTAAAAAACAGTTATCATTTCAGTTAAGAAATCTAATTATTCTTTTTTTTTTTTTTCTGTTGCCCAGGCTGGAGTGCAGTGGCACGCTCATAGCCACTGCAGACTAGACCTGCTGGGCTCAGGTGATCCTTCAGCCTTCCTTCCAAGTAACTAGAACTACAGGCACGTGCCACCATGCCTGGCTAATTTTTTGATTTATTGTAGAGGCAAGGTCTCGCCAAGTTGTCCAGGCTGGTCTCGATCCCCCGGACTCAGGCACTCCTCTTGCCTCCACCTCCCAAAGTACTGGGATTATAGGCATAAGCCACTGGGCCCGACCTGAAATCTAGTTATTCTGATTTTGATGCAAAATTTGGAAAATTTTGATGCAAAATTTGGAAAAGTTTAAAGAAATCAAAAAATGGCTTTTAATCCCACTGTGGCAAGATAGCTACTATGTCATGTCAGTGTCATTCTTTCTGTTTTCCTCCATATGTAATATGCACTAGGTGACTATATTTATAAGATAGGAATATATTTTATATGGTTATTTTCCAGCCATTTAACTCTGTGGAGGGCATTTTCCCATGTACACAGTCCCTGGAAACATGACTTTGTAATGGTTACTGATGTCCCATGACTGTTCTGTAACTTATTTAACCAGCTTAGACATGTGGTTGCTGATAGTTCACACTCCTGTCCTTGCTGTTGATGAACCTTCCTGAGTTTCCTCCTACCTGGGGCCAGTGTGGCTTTGGGCTCCAAGGGGGTCAGGGAAGACCCCCATAGAGAGACAACATCTTGGCTGGGTGTTTATTTATTTTAGAGACAGACTTTTGCTCTGTCATCCAGGCAGGAGTACAGTGGCGGGATCCTTAACTCACTGCAGCCTTGACCTTCTGGGATCAAGTGATCCTTCCACCTCAGCCTCTGAGTAGCTGGAACTACAGGCACACACCACCACACCAGGCTAATGTTTTTTATTTTTTATAGAGACAGTCTTGTTATGTTGCCCAGGTTCCCTGATATTTATATTTAAAGGGAATGGACGAGTTCAAAAACTGTTCTGAGCAGTGTAAAAAGCACCATGGGTGCATTGCATCAAATGAAGAGTACTTTGAGGGTGACTGAAGTTTACACATGTAAGAATAAATGCACCCTTTTTTATAAATAAATTCCGATTTGGGGGAGGGGCCCCCCTCGTCTTCCCTCTGTCTGTGCCCCCGGCCAGCTTCTCTTCAGACCCTTCCCCACCTCAGATGTCCATCATTCTGACCCTGGGCCGCTTTTGTCTCTCACTAACTGTTCTCTTCCCGGGTCCCAATTTCTCCATCTGGGCAGCAACTACCTCAACTGCTTTTAGGGTCCAAGAGAGGTATCTTTTCAGTGCTGTCGCTAATTTCTTTGTATGCAAATAATAACTTGAAGGCGTTATTGCTTTAAACATTCTAAGAATGTAGGTAAACTGAAGCTCCCCCTCCATAACCATAGCTATGTCAGTCTTTTCTCTGGAGATGACAGCTGTCATGCTGTGTGCTTTCCTGGGTGTGTTTCCTTGCATTTATGCACCTAGAGGAATGGTTTGCTTTGCGCGTTGGTATTCTGCCAAGCGCCTTTCCATCTTTTTTTTTTTTTTGAGTTGGAGTCTCACTCTGTCGCCCAGACTGGAGTGCAGTGGCCGCTCCCGGCCACTGCAGCCTCTACCTGCTGGGCTCCGGAGATCCTTCCACCTCATCCTTCCGAGTAGGAATTACAGGCGCACGCTACCGCGCCCGGCTGATTTTTTTATTTATTGTAGAGATGAGGTCTTGCTGCCCAGGCGGGTCTCGAATCCGCAGGCTCAGGCAATCCACTCACCTCAGCCTCCCAAAGACGCAGGATTACAGGCTGAGCCACCGAGCCCAGCTGCGCCTTCCCATCTTTGTACATGCAGATCCACTTTACTCTTTAAACCTATGAGTGACATGAGATGGTATCATGTCCCTGTGTGCATCGAGCCTGCCCACTGCCTGGAAATGAGAGGTTGGTTTCCAGCGTTTCACTACTTCAGATATCCCTGTCTGGAGCCTGGCAGGTCCTCTGTCCTCTTTACCTGGTCTTCTGTTGCTCGAAGTGCTCATAGGGTCAGGAGATGCTGTGTGTGATGTGGGCGGGGGACAGAGCTCAGCTCCCCCCCTTCCAGGCAACCCTGCCCTCCCTGCCATCATCACCCCTACTCGGGCTACTGAAGATCAGGAACCGCGGGGGCCTCTGCGTCCCCAAAGAAGCCCTCTGCATGACCAGGGTGGATGACTGAGTGTGTCAGACTGCCAGCCCCTGTCCTGTCCTGCCCAGAGCAAACCAGTGTGACAGGATTGACAGAGATGAGGTAGAACGATGACCGGGCTTTGCCCTTCTTCCACGTCTGTGGTGTGTCAAAACCGGAAAGGTGCGTGCATACCCCGTTGCCCAACTCCATGATGTGTAGAGGAGGAAACAAGCACAGAGAGGGAAGGGTGTTCGCTCAAGGTCACACGGCAGGTAAGTAGCCAGCCAGGGCCTTGCCTCTGGACTCCCAGTTTGCCACTGGGTTGGGGAGACAGGTGGAGGGATATCTGTCAGCACCTCTGGGCCCTCAGCCTGTCTCTCCCCCACCCACACCCCAGCCACTGACACCATTTTCTGTCCAGTTCCTTCAGGATTCTTCTGCCTGCCAGGCTGACCCAAATGCTAGAAATGGTGTCTAGTGCCTTTGCCAGCTCCGGGCCCTCTAAGACAACCAGAACTAGCAGACACTCTGGGAGGCTGGTAAGAGACCAGAAAAGGTGGCCCGGTGCGACGGCTCACGCCTGTAATCCCAACACTTTGGGAGGCCTAGGAGGGAGGATTGCTTGAGCCCAGCAGTTTGAGACCAGACTGGGTAACACAGCGAAACCTCATCTCCACAAAAAAAAATTATTTTTTAATTAACCAGGTGTGGTGGCATGTACCTGTCATCCTAGCTACTTGGGAGGCTGAGGTAGAAGGATTGCCTGAGCCCAGGAGGTCGAGGCTACAGTGAGCCATGATTGTGCCACTGCACTCCAGTCTGGACAGAGTGAGTCCCTGACTCAAAAAGTAAATAAAAAAAGAGACAAGAAAAGCTGAGCTCCAGGGAGGAAGAAAACAAAGTAGATTGGAAAGACTTGTTCCAGGCTTTGGCCTTGCTCTCTGCAGTGAGGCCTGTGCTCAAGGCCTTTCTGACTCTTGCCTGCTGTGGTGTAGCTTGGCAGGTGCAGAAGTTTCAAGAGGGAAGCAGCCCGTTACCCTGACACACACACCTCTCACCAGATAGAAGCCATGGAGACCACATCCGCCCAGCCTATGTGCTCCAGGGGCACAGCAGGTGTTCAGAGAGTGGGCAGCCCCCAGTGCTGCGGTGAGATGCAGGTGGTGTGTAGCTTTAAGCCGGTCGTATGGTCACATCAGACTGTTTCTCAGGCTGTGAGTGATGTTGACTATGCACTGTATGACATGAAAGGATTGAACTAAAGCTTTCGTGTCCCTGGCAGTGTGAAAATGAAATCCGGTTCGGGCATTACTTTGACAGAACACTTCTGCCCATCTTAGAGATGAGGAAGCTGAGGCCTGTATTTGTGATGTTCTTCCGTCTGAGTCTCTGTCATCGGGTGTAAATTTTGCAAGGGCCCTGAATCCCTAGGCCCCACCCTTCCTAACTAAAGTCCCTGGAGGGGCCCCTTGGGCGTCCACCCCACCTCCTTCCTGCCTCTACCCTTGCGAGTGAGTTCTGCATGTGTTTGCTCAGATCCTGAAGCTAGTGGTGCTGGGGCCCCACCCGTGCTGAGTCCAGACAGCAGAAGGCAGCTCTGATACTGGGGAGGGGTGTGACGCAGGACCCTGTGGTCACCCCTCCCCACGGGCTCCACAACCTAGATGAATCTGGAATATGTGCCTGGGAAATAGAAGGACTCCAGGCTCAACTGGGAAGCTGGGGTCTCCTCAGGACTCTGCTCCCCTGCCGTGAGGCCTCTGTGATTATCTGCCCGTCCTCCTCTGACTTTCGTACCTGGAAAGCCCAGCTTTTCTGCCTGGAAGGAAGTAGGCGTGGAATCTGCTACCTTCGGGGCCCTTCCAAGCCTGGCTTTGGGGTCCAGTAAAGCCTTTGTCAGCGATGACAGGTGCAAGAGAGCTGCGAGGTCAAGGGATCCAGGGCTGGGGCTTATGGGATGGTGGGAGAACTGGGTGAACGTACCACATTCTCCACATAAAGCGGGAACAGCAAGGACACAACGCTCTTGGTCAGAAGCACACAAGCCTTGAGGCCCACAGGCAGGATGGGGCGATGGTTCCAGAAATGTGAGGCCGGGTGTCTGCAGGAAAGTCTGAGCCCTCTTGGGACTGTGCTTGTGGTCCATCCTGCTAGGATTTCGGGGTGGCTTCTGTCCACAGTGCTTCTGCCTGATTCACTCTCACCTGACAGGGCTCCAAATTTGAGGGAAGTTGAGAAATTGCCCACAGAGGCTTGAGTGTGCAACGACAGTCATTCACCCCAAAACACCGCAACCCAGACGGCCCTCAACAGATCTCCGAGACTTGCTCACACCGGCGTCTTTGCATACCATCCGCTGCAACTGAACACGGTGTGCCTGCCGTTGGGCTTGACTTGCTGGACATCAGGGATACTTTATGGAATTATAGGCCGTTAAAATATGGGTCCTCAGTGATCACTCATCCTGCAAAATGTGTTATCTCTCCATGCTGGGCATGGTGGCTCACGCCTATAATCCCAGCACCTTGGGAGGCAGAGGCAAGAGGATTGTCTGAGCCAGGGAGTTCGAGACCAGCCTGAGCAATTTGGCGAGACCTCATCTCTACAATAAATTAAAAAATTAGCTGGGTGTGGTGGTGCACGCCTGTAGTTCCAGCTACTTGAGAGACTGAGACAGAAGGATCACCTGAGCTCAGAAAGCCGAGGCTGCGGTGCACTCCAGCATGGGTGCACGCTAGCCTGGGTGACAGAGTGAGACTCTGACTCAAAAAAAAAAAATTTACCTCTCCAACCTCTTTTTGCATGCTTCCAGTGACAGAGAGCTCACTACTGCCCTCCAATGAGGCTGCCTACCTCTATTCGGGACAGGTCTGAAATTCTTCATGCTGAGCTGGACCTTCTTGGTCCTTCTAGTCCTTGGCCACAATCCTGCCCTCCAAAGCTGGAGAGGATATACCAGCCGCTTTTATTCCCTGACAGTCCTGCCAAGATCTGAAGACAGTGGCCGGGTTCCTGTTCTCAAGACTGACCAACTGCTGTTCTGGGAGCAGCTGCTCCTATAACTTTGTTCTGAGTCTCTTTCCACAGACTATCAGGCTCCTTTGGACACCTTCTGGCTGGCTCATTCGCCCTCCAGCATGTGAGCACTGTCTGGGGGAACTCGCCAGCTCCAGGCTGAGCTTGCTTGGCTTCCCCCTGACTCTGGACACTGTCCTTTCATTCTCCCCTGACTCCATGTCTGCTTTTGGGCAGATTTGCTTCAGGTCGAACCTACCACAGGGGTCTTCTTGATGAAAAGGAGCTGGGCCCAGGTGCAGGGGCTCCATCTCCAAGCTTCTCAGGACCTGCCCTGGTGCTCAGGAGGACAGAGGGGTCACCTGTTCCAACCCTGACCCTTCACAGACAGAGAAACTGAGGTCCCGGGAAGGGAAGTGACTTACCTAAGTCACCAGGTCAAGCTGGAATCCAGGCTTCCTGGCCTCTGCCCAGGCCTGGCCCCTCCCTGTGTCCTGTGCTACCAGTGGCCGCCTCTGCTGCTCTCTTGCTCCCGAGTTTCCGTTGACTCAGGAAACTGTCATCCCTCTTCCACCCTCTTCCAGAACACGGTCCGGATGCCCCACCCCAGCCCCGGGCTCCTCCCTTTCGGTTGGGGAAATTTTTTTCTTTTTGAGTCGGGGTCTCATTCTGTCACCCAGGCTGGAGTGCAGTGGCAAGATCACGACTTACCTCAGCCTCAACCTCTTAGACTCAGGTGATCTTCCAGCCTCAACCTCCCAAATAGCTGGGACTACAGGCATGTGCCACCACACTTGGCTTATATTTTTTATTTTGTAGAAATGAGGTCTCACTATGTTGCCCAGGCTAGTCTCAAACTCCTGGGCTCGGGCAATACTCTCGCCTTGGCCTCCCAAAGTGCTGGGATTACCCACATGAGCCACCGTGCCTAGCTAGGATGGGAAAATGTTTGTGGCCCCTTCCTGGCCTGTCCTCCTCACTACTGGGTGCACTCTGCTCCCTGACCTTTGAGGGGAAGTAGCCAGGCTCCAACCTGGGGATTTTCTATTTGGTCTTTGTGTTGAGTCCTGCTTGGCTCGGGGCCATGTAACCTCAGGCTTTTGTGGGTATCAGGATAACCTGATAGATTACTCAAACCAGAGGTTCCCAGAATACAAGCCCCACCCCCCCAAGTTCTGTAGCCTAGAGTCAAACCTGGGGGTTTGTTTTCCGCTCTCCAGGGGGCCCTAGTGCAGGCAGCCTGTAGACCGAGTTCCTAAAAAATACTGTTCCTGGCACTGTAACACACTGGGTCCAATGTGGAGTTCAAATCCTGTCCTCAAGGAACCCCTTGGGCTAACTGGCGGGGCAGAGAGCTAACCAGGCATGGGGACTCTCAGGGGGGCCTGTGGGGAAGACAGGACTAACTTGTCCCAGGGAAAGCCAGGAGAGATACAGAGATACCCTGAGTGCTCTGGGCATGCAGGCCTGAGGACCTGACTGTGTATCATGGTGGGACGAACCCAAGCAGCCTGGGGTGTCTTGAACACACGGATGCCTATGCTGCAGCCAGGAGCTCAAGAGGTAGCACTCGGTCGTTTTGGTTTGGTTTTGGCCTAGCAAATTGACCAGTATTTTTTTTTTAAGTGATAATATTTCAGTTGGTGAGGTTGCAGTGAAACTGGCTATCTTATATGCTGTTTGTGGTGAGTAAATCAGTAGAAACTTTCTGAAGAGTAGAATCAGTAATGTTAGATATATAAAAAATTTTATCAATCGATAAAAATATATAAATACATTTACAGAATAGTTAATGCCATATAGTAAATTCTCATTATATTCATATAGAAATATGCATTAGCATATATATATAGAGAGAGTCAGGTCTCACTCTGTCACCCAGATTGGAGTACAGTGGCACAATTAATCACAGGTCACTGCAGCCTCCACCCCAGGCCCAGGCATCCTTCCTCCTCAGCTTCCTGACCAGCTGGAACTATAAGTGCGTGCCACCATTCCCAACTAATTTGTTTGATTTTTTTTTTTTGGTAGAGACAAGGTCTTGCAATGTTACCCAGGCTGGTCTCAAACTCCTGGGCTCAAATGATCCTTCTGCCTCCCCCTCACAAAGTGCTGGGATTATAAGTGTGAGCCATCACACCTGGCCCAATATTTTTAAAAATAGGATATAAGGAAGAATGTGTAATATTCCAAAATTGAATATGTGTATATATGTGTGTGTGTATGTATAGGTGAATATTATATGTCATCATTGTCTAGGTTTATCTCTAGATAGTGGGATTTTTAAAATATATTTTCCTGTATTTTTTTACATTTTCTATAACAAATGCTTACTACTGTAACTAGAAAAAGATGTTTACAAATATTTAAGTGTTAAGAAAAGGGAGGGGGCGTAGGCTGGGGCTATGACCTTCGTCATTGCTGGGAAGGTCTTGTGGGGATCGGGGACCTGAGTGTGACACCGCGTGCTGCCTGTGGTCTGGATGCTGTCTGTGAAGAAGTATTCCCTACTGTCCATGGTGGTGGTTTTTGGGAGACTGCAGTGTCTCATGAGCTTGCGATCTTATTTCTGGTGATGGAACCTGAGGCCGGTGGCGGCCTAAGAGATTTCTACCATGCTTCTCAAACACAAAGCAATGACCTTATGCAGTATCTGAGCCCTGGGTGAGTGGCAGACCTGCAGGTGCATTATTTCATCCAGTCCGAAAACAACCCCCTGAGGAACCAGAGGCCTGGAAAGCTCATCCTGTCACACAGGGTAGGTTTAGGGTGGAACGCAGATCGATGTGGTTCTAGAATTCTGGCATTCTTAACCGCTCTGCTCTGTAGTGTCTGATATCCTGACACCTGGTTCTAATGCTGACCGGAACAAGAAGGTACAGTGTGACCGTGTCTCATACCTCTCTGAGCCTCAGTTTCCTCACCTGTAGTGACCTTTGCCTCACAGCGCAGTTGAGAACGAGGCGAGATCAGATGCTCAGAGCTTGCACACCATGGGACCATGGAGTCCAGTCCCCAGGCCTCCTTCCTCTACTCACAAAGGAGGAAGCAGAGGGAGGGAATTGTGCATGTCCTAGAATCCAGGCCTTCTCCCTCCCATAAAAACATTGCCTGGATTCAGGATAACCCACAGTGGCAGCAGGGAAGAGAACAACCCTTGTGTTTATCTCCCGTCTTCCTCTGGCCCTGGTGGGAGGCTGGCTCCCATCACTTCCCCAGATTCTTGCGCTGACAGCAGCTCTGGCTGGTGGCCGGACCAGGCTTCTCCCTCTCCCCTGGAAAGAGCGACTGCCAGGTGGACCAAAGCTATACTGTCAGGCCGCCCAGCCACTGAGCAGGCTTGGGGTGCCCAGACCTGGGGAGGCAACAGGCCTGCCTCAGTTTACCAGGGACTTGCATGCGCCACACTTGGTGCCCCGCACTGTAGGGAGGGGCAGACTGTTCTAGAAGCCTTCATTTGATGTATCTTCCCTCTTCAGTCATACTTGCTAGAAGTATTTGTAATACTAGAAATACTTGCTAGATGTATTTCAGGGGTTCTTGAGTCCAGGAGAATTTTAATCATTTTTATTCTAATTGCCTTTTAAAATCTGTTATAGTAAAAAGTAAAGTTTTTCTTTTTTAGTGATAATTCACAATTGAGCATTTTCAGCCTTTTCATAGGATGACTTTTGTTTTTAAGTATTGCTTTTTTCCCCTCCCCCCCTTTCTATCTCCTTCCCTCCCTCCCCCTCCCTCCTTCCCTCCTTCTTTCCATCTTGAAAAGTGTACAGAGGCCGGGCTCGGTGGCTCAGTCTGTAACCCCAGTACTTTGGGAGGCCAAGGTGAGTGGATTGCCTGAGCCCACGGGTTCAAGACCCACCCAGGCAACTTGGTGAGACCTCGTCTCTACAATAAATCATAAATAAGCCAGGTGCGGTAGCGCACACCTGTAGTTCCAGCTACTTGGAAGGCTGAGGCAGAAGGATCACCGGAGCCCAGCAGGTCAAGGCTGCGGTGGCAGTAAGCGTGCCACTGCACTCCAGTCTGGGTAACAAAGTGAGACTCCAACTCAAAAGAAAAGAAAAGAAAAGTGTAGAGAATGCTTTAATTGTTTCTCCACCTAAAATCCTGGTCCAGTGACCTGTGCCAGACCTCGCCCAGTGTTTCCCTTCTGGGGTGTGATGAGAACCTTCCAGGTGTGCGTGAGTGTGTGGCGCTGAGCAAGCTGTCTTTCCCCTTTCCTGGAAGACTGTTCTCAAGCTTTGTCCTACCACGTCTCAGAGGGTTAAAATGTCCTTTATTTTATTAAATGATAGGGATAACCTACAAATAATTTTTAATGCTTCCTTGCTTATCAACCTTCCTGCTAAAACAGTTCCTCACTGGTGGGATCTGGGCGCCGCACACATGGTCTCATGAACGCCCTCTGTGTCAGGTGCTCCATCCATCAGATTCGACCAACACTGGCCAAGGTCAGTCCAGGTGCCCGCTAGGCGGGACTCAAATGTTCGACTCTGCCAGTTATGGTGTCCCCTAAACCACCCTGAGTGCTAAGCTCACTCTGCCCCAGCTGCCTCGCCTTTCAACTGGGGTTATTTCTATTTTCCAATACTGCTGTGAAGCTTAACAGCAGCGTCAGCAAGACAAGCACAGCACCTGGCACATCCTGAGTGCCCATCTCACTCCCATCGGCAAGACAGGTGCCACTGTCGATGTCACAGTTGCAGAAGCAGCCCCTTTGGACAGAGACAAGCACAGTCCAAAAAATCACGAAACTCTGATGCCCTGTCCTTGATACCGCATTAACTCTGATGAGAACTTGCGGGAAGGTGGGTTAGCCACAGACCCTGAAAGCAAAGAGGAGTCATGTCTGAATGGAGGTTGGGAGGCTGTAGCAGGAGGTCTGGCCAAGTCAGGGGAGACAGCAGAGGTGGGCAGGGCACCCCTGGATGGCAGGAGGAGGCAGATAACAGGGTCTCGGGAAGGTCAAGCAGCATCTGACTCCCCGCCGGGGGATTCCCCGGCAATCTGGGAGCTCACCCCTCAGTAGAGGGGTTGCTGCCTGGGGCTGGTGGGGAAAGCAACCTGATGGGACCAGGCACAGGGCAGGGTCGGCGGTAACTGAAGGTGAAGAATCCCACCATAGCTCCATCCCAACATTGATCTCCCACCCTCTACCCTCACCTCAGTGTTGTCTCATTTCTTCCAGAGGCGCCAAGAACCAGAACAGTCACCCGCGTCAGAGCCCCAGGAACTAGGTCCCCTCAGTGGGGACACAGGTGAGCAGCCAGCCTCGTAAATGTCCCCCACCCCAACATCCATGAGGTTTCCTACCTTACAATCAACAAAGGTGATATAGTGACTTAACGATCTCATGCGATCTTAGGTAGGTTATATTAATAGGAGTATCATATCTAAAATCAGGAGGTGATGATCGTGACCTGTGCTTCCCTGCTCTGGGTTGTTGATACCACAAGAGTGCTGTATATATTTCTGAAAAATACGTTTTCAAAGGGGTCTAGAAAAATTGGAGGGAGCAAAGTGGAATAAGATCAGGCTGATGAAGAGCCCAGAAAACCTGTCTTGTAAGGTTGAAGGAACAGAGAATGTTCTACTTGGAAAGAAAATGTTGCCATAAAACAGTTGTCTCCAAGTGTCTGAAGTGCTCAAAGGAGAAGAAAGTTGAGGCTTGTTCAGTGTGGCCAGAGGCGAGTGCTATAGGGCTGTGAGGTGGCAACATCCAAGCAGAATTCAGCTCAGTTTCAAAGGATTGTTTTATGTGGTTGGTCATTTAAAACCATCAGAGCTACCTGTAATAGCATGAGCTCCCATCTCTGAAGGTATTTAACTATAGCCAGAGGCTGCCAGAGATATTCAAATACCAGATAAGCAATTGGACCCGAATTCAGAGAGTCTCTAATCTGAATGTAGATAAGAATTACCTGGAGAACTTCAAAGATACAGATTCTGGGACCACCCCAGACCAACTCAGGGGCCAGGCATGGTAGCTCACACCTATAATCCCAGCACTGTGGGAGGCTTAGGCAGAAGGATTGCTTGAGGCTGTAAGTTCAAGACCAGCCCAGGCAGCATTGTGAGACTCTGTCTCTACAAAATAAGCCGGGTGCTTAGGACCCTATCTCTACCAAAAGAAAGAAAGGAAGGGAGGAAGGGAGGGAAGGAGGAAGGAAGAAAGAAAGAAATCTGTATTAAGTAACAGCTTCCTGATTATTAAGTATCAGCAACCAATTTCTTTTCAATTTGGGTAGAGCAAATAGAACCTTTCTGTGGCCCAACCCTGTCCCGTGAGCTATCGGTTCTGCTGTAGATACAAGCAGACAAAATGAGACCCACTGGCTTCCACTTTTTTTTTTCATTTTAGAGACAGGATCTTGCTATCAAGCTGGAGTACAGTGGCATTATACTAGCTCACTGTAGCCTTAACTTTCTGAGCTCAAGTGATCCTCCCGCCTCAGTCTCCCAAGTTGCTGGGACTACAGCATGCATCACCTGCCTAATTTTAAAACTTTTTATAGGGATGGGGTCTCACTAGGTTGCCCTGGTTGGTCTGGAGCCCTGGCCTCAAGCGACCCTCACACCTTGGCCTCCAAAGCACTGGGATTACAGGCATGAGCTACCGCCCTCAGCCTGGCTTCTGTCTTGAAGGGGGGTCTTCAAGTCAGAGAGATTTGAAGGCTGTCCCAGGAGACTGGTCCCCAGCTGAAGCTGTTCTTAAGCAGACTAGCATTCTCATCCCTCTACCCGGCCCCTACCCACTCTCTGCTGACCCTGACTCCTCCGCCCTGGTGATGTTTTTGCTCGTTTGCCTACAGTTGTGACTGCCCCACTGTGTGGATCTGTCGAGGCTGAGCAGTCTCAGAAGGACATAACTCGACTTCTCCAGCAACATGAAGAGGAAAGGCAGAAGTGGGAGCAACAGGTACGTCCAGGTGACCCCAGCCCTCTCTTTCTCCTGCTCAGCTAACGTGGATGAATCCCAGAGTGAAGACCCATGTTGGGCTTTTATTGTCATTTTAAGAGTCTCTCACTCCTTTTTTTTTATTGTCATTTTAAGATCTCTCACTCTGTCGCCCAGACTGGAGTGCAGTGGCATGCCCACAGCCACCCCAGCCTCAACCTGCTGGGCTCCAGCGATCCTTCCTTCTCAGCCTTCCAAGTAGCTGAATCTACAGACGCGAGCTACCACACCCGGCTAATTTTTGATTTATTGTAGAGATGAGGTCTTGCCAAGTTACCCAGGCAGGTCTCTCTCACTCCTTTTGACAAGAAGGGAGTCCTGGATCTCTTGGATACATGTTTCCATGAGGCCACCACGTGCCAGACACGTTGGTGGAAGTGAGCAGAACTGGCAGCGGCTCTCATGAGGCTGCCAGGCTGTTTAGGAAGAGGAAAAGCCACTGGTGTCGCAGGAGTAATTACCCTTCTAGGCCACCACAGGGTTGGGCGAGGCCTTAGAACTAGTTCTGGCCGACGCATCTTAGAAAGAACCAGTGTCACTTCAGGGCCACACATCAAGTTGCTAGTTCAAAACCCTCCAGGTCTGTCTAGTGAAAAGACGGCATTGTTTGAGTGACTGTTCCCCCAGCCCGTGTCTCGGGATGACGATCTCTGTATCCTGGGTAATCCCTGGACCATAGAGTCCCTCCCACCTGCGATAGGCAGTAAGCACATGATAAAGCTTTTTCTTAAGCCACTGAGATTTTTCTGTTGTTTGTTAAAGTTGGATAATTTAGTCTATCCCGATGGAGACAAGAAATCAGCTCCTAAACATTATTACACAGAATTGTTTAGTACAATTGTAAGTGCTATGAAAATTTAGAGTGCTATAAAGGGACATCATAGAACCCTTGAACCAAGTCTGTGGGATCACAGAATGGTCTCTCTGAGGAGGTGATGCTAAGACTTTCAAAATTATTTGAAAACGAGGCCAGCCGTGGTAGCTCACATCTGTAATCCCAGCACTTTGGGAAGCTGAGGAAGGAGGATCATTTGTCGCCAGGAGTTCAAGACCAGCCTGGGCAACATAGTGAGACCTCTTCTCTTAAAAAAAAAAAAAAAAATTAAAAATTACTGGGCATGGTGGTGTGTACCTGTAGTCCCAGCTACTCGGAGGCTGAGGCGGGAAGATCGCTTGAGCCTCAGAGTTCAAGGCTGCTCGTGATCTGTGATCACACCATGCCACTCCAGCCTAGGTGACAGAGAAAGACCCTGTCTCTAAAAGTATTTAAATAATTTAAAAAGTGATTTGGAAATGCAAACTGAGGGACATTCGGCACGGTCTCCAGCCTGTATTGTCAAATGTCAAAGTCATGAAATACGAGAACGAGGGAGGAACAATTACAGATTAGAGGACATTGAAGAACCATGATGACCGAGTCAGCCCATAGCCTGGGCTTCCTTGTCCTCATTCTAGCTTGGTCACTGACCTTCCCCTCTCTTTGCCTCAGTTTCCTCCCTTACAAGAGGGAGATGGTAGAACAGTAGGAGAGATCTTGGAATGGTATACAAAAGTTTTCCCTAAACTAAATCTTTTTTGGTTATGTTCAAGTTAAATACAAAATATGTCAGTATGAATGTTCAAAACTCTGAAATTTAAAGTGTCCCTTTTAAAAGGGCTCTGGGTCAGACATGGCAGCTCATGCCAGTAATCCCAGCATTTTGAGAAGCCAAGGTTGGAGGATCATTTGAGACCAGCCTAGGCAACATAGGGAGACCCTGTCTCTCTACAAACATTTTTTAAAAATACCTGGGCATGTTGGCTTGTGCCTGTAGTCCCAGCTGCTCGGGAGGCTGAGACAAGAGGATCCCTTGAACCCAGGAGGTCAAGGATGCAGTGAGTTATGATCATGCCACTGCACTCCAGCTTGGGTGACACAGCGAGACTCTGAATCAAAAAATGAAGGAGAGGGAAAGAGGAAGAAAGGAAGATGGCAGGCAACTTTCAACCCGGAGAAGGGCAACGGTGGGAGCACCTACTGTACTCAGTCTTTTTTTGCTTGTTTGTTTTTATTTTTGGTTTTGTTTGTTTTGAATGGGAGTCTCACTGTGTCACCCAGGCTGGAGTGCAGTGGCACGCTCACTGCCACCACAGCCTCGACCTCCTGGGCTCAGGTCATCCTTCCACCTCAGCCTTTCAAGTAGCTGGAAACACAGGTATGTGCCACCATGCCTGCTAATTTTTTGATTTATTGTACAGATGAAGTCTTGCCAAGTTGCTCAGGCTGGTCTCAAACCCCTGAGCTCAGGCAATCCTCTCATCTCCTCCTCCCAAAGGACTGGGAATACAGGCTTGAACTACTGCGCTTGGCCTGTGCTCGGTCTTGAGGGGCTGCCTGGGCTGTGTCTCCTCCGAGGGCAGATCTGGGACCTGATAGAAGCTAGAGGCCACTTAACGGGAAGCGCTACCCATGGTTAGACTACGGCTCATTTTACCACGGAAGGGCATCCCACCTTGCATGAGCCTCAGGACTGGAAGACTCCTAAGTCCTTTTCCACGTGGATATTTCTCTGGGAACCCCCTTCTGATGTCCCTAATGAGGGCAAAGTCTGCCACTCCTCCAGTGTTGTGGGAGTCTTGTGCCCTCTCCGGGTGCCACTCCCATTGCGAAGTGTGAAGGGAAGACATGCTGGGCTGAGTTGCTCAACCCTGGTCCTGCCGGCCCCTGCCCCAGGTGGAGAAGGAGATCCGAGAGAGGCTGGAGGAGCAGCGAAGTAGCCTGGAAGGAGCTCATGAGGCGGCCCTGCAAGGTAGGGTGGAGGTGTCCCCTGGGTGGGGTGTCCCCTTCTGGTCTCAGCTACTGAGCTCACCCAGGACTCCCACCCCTTTGCCTCGTTCCATACGCAGTGACCACTTTGGGCCCAAGAGCGGGTGGTCTTTTCTGTGGGCCTGGCTTTTAAAGGCTGGCACCGTGCTTTGTTTTCGCTTGTTTGAGAGATTTTTTCTTTCCATTTCAAAAGCAATACACATTCATTAATGGACATTTGGAAATCCTAGACAAATAGAATCTTAAAATCTGTGTATTCCACCCCACAATGATGACAGCCTATCATTTCTGGTGAGGTTGATTTTTTTAATTTTTTTTTTTTGAGTTGAAATCTCACTGTGTCACTCAGGTTGGAGTGCAGTGGCATGTTCATGGCCACTGCAGCCTCGACCTGCTGGGCTCAGATGATCCTTCTATCTCAGCCTTCCAAGTAGCTGGAACCACAGGAGTGTGCCATCATACCCAGCTAATTTTTTTTTTAATTTATTGTAGAGACAAAGTCTTGCCAAGTTGCCTGGGCTGTTCTCGAACGCGTGGACTCAGGCAACCCTCTCACCTCAGTCTCTCAAAGTGCTGGGATTATAAGCGTGAGCCACCGCACCTTGCATTTCTTGCTTGTGCGCCTACATGGAGTACACAGCTATACACACACGCTTTGGGGAGGGGCAGCCAGGTGATTCTGCCACTTTGAACTGCGTCAGCATCCTGTCACTAAGCTCTCCTATGACGTAAATTGGTTAACTCCATAGCATTCCAGTGTGTGACCTCACTCATTTACCTGAGTCCCTTTAGGTAATTTTAAAATGCTTGCCATTGACCAGGCTCAGTGGCTCAGCCTGTAATCCCAGCACTTTGGGAGGCTGAGGCGAGTGGATTGCCTGAACCCGTGGGTTCAAGACCCACCCGGGCA